AACATAGTAGAACATTTTATAGATTATAAATGTAAGATCCCTTTACCCTACTCCCACACCTAAACATACCCATTTTATAGACAATATTAAAAGGATCAAACGTAATGAACATAATGTGTAGGGAAATGGCAGTTTTATTAACAATAAAGCATTAAAATATAGTTTGAGCCACTAGGCTAATCCTACCCCTACACCTAACCATTTCTTAAAACTATGTAACTAATGTTACAATTATAAAGAAAAACACAGACATAACGTTACACGTTTAATCGCAATAATTTTATTTAGTGAGAAAATGTCAAAACCGGTACCAAAAGTCGTTCACAGGACGATGTGTCGCAGTCCTCTCTGGCAGTAGGCTATATAATATATTTGTATGAGGTAACGTTATAGAGCAGAATTTAAGTTATTAATCCATGAAAACGCTAATCCGGTTTCGGTTCGCTCTTTGAAGGCGCGCGCGATTCTCCATTTCAAATGTAGTACACCAATTAAACATGGCATGTCGCAATCTGTGACGAAGCATGCGAGAGCCAATGAGCGTCTGATATCACTGCTGTAAAACATGTCGTAACGCTTCGGGCGCAATTTTTGAATTTGAATTCACCACGAGCGCGGGATGCCAGGATTTGGCGTTTACGGTCTCTGCTGAGAGAAATTATGAAGATCACTGGATGAAGAGCTGAATTTGGATCTGTTTTTTGCAAACAACGCATGGATTCTAAAGATTTGGATTACACCAAGCTAATAAAATTGATGTCTTTTGTGAATTTATGTTTTAGTGTATTATGGGTCTATAGGAGAAAATGCCTTTTGTGTTTCACAATAAATAAACCAAATATTACAAAATGGTTAAACAATTAAAGAAGGTATTTTTAACCCATATGAAAAAAACCTGCATGGTTCATATACAGCAACCATATATTATCTTCCTTACTTAAATCGGCCAGAATTACCTTCTGTGTTTCATATAAGGCCAATACATGTCCTATACAAAATCAGACCGATTATGGCCCATTTCATACTAAATAACACACATACAACTTGTAGGGGATTTTTGCGTTATATATGAATACTGTTAAAAGACTTGTATGAGTTTTACATGACAAAAGTATGCAAATGTGTATGGTATTACTCGAAATATATAAAATTCATATATAATAATTTAAAGTTCTTATATTTAATTATATGCTAGTCAAATTAAAGTCATATAGAATTTATACACATTTTGTGTCATTTGTTTATGTGTTTCGTACAGATTTCATGTTTTGATGACCAACATCTGATTCACTTATATGCAGTTGGCAGATTCTTAAAGGGATACTCCACTTTAAAAAGAAAATTCTTTCATCATATACTCACCCTCATGTTGTTTTAATCCTTTATGAATTTCTTTCTTCTGCTGAACAGAAAGGAAGATATTTAGAAGAATATCAGTAACCAGACAGTTTCTGGTCTCATTGACTTTTATACTATGTAAGTCAATGAGACCAGAAACTGTCTGGTTACTGATATTCTTCTAAATATCTTCCTTTCTGTTCAGCAGAAGAAAGAAATTCATTAAGGATTAAAACAACATGAGGGGGAGTATATGATGAAAATTTTCATTTTAAAGTGGAGTATCCCTTTAAATTGTACAGTGCAGATGCCGGTTAGAGGATTACTGTCAGAATATCACTGATCTTTATGAAGACTGTTAATTTTACTACAGGATTTGAAAGAGCAGTTGAAAAGAAATGATATTGTAAGATTGTGTATTAATTGTTAACTGTCTGGGCCTGTTGTTTGTGAACAAAATCATAACATATTATTGCAAATGAACAAAGCTGAGTCAAATATGTTTCTAGAACAGTGATTAAAATTGGCTGGAATATGTTTTTGTATGTGACATGAACTCTGGTGGTGATGCACTCTAAAAACATTTAATATGATTTACTCAATTTTTTTGGTGAAACATTTTTAAACTTAGAATATTGATTAGATTTTTAAGCAGTGAAAGCAATTACTTACACTGTATTAACTGAGTAAATGTTAGTAAAACAAATTAAATAGATCCGAGTAACTGCATTTGGTACATTAACAAATAAACTTGAGTAGAAATAATTAGGGGGAAACATTTAAAAACAAATATTTATGAGTAATATAAACTGTGTTTATATGGCAGTAATATTAACTTTTTTATTTCCTCTAAACCTTTGTAAAAAATATTCCATACAACCACCGGTATAACTACATGACATTGGCCTTTATTGTCGATTAGTAGCCTAACATTACAGCAAAACAGCATATATTTTATACTATTTTTAACACGTATGCAATATTGCCTACACCTAAACTCATGTAAGAAACATTTTCGAAGTAAAAATTAAACATTTAGGCCTAAACAATAAAGTAATTCAAGTGTAATCAACCGGTCTGTTATCCAGTATCCACCGGATCAGCGCTGTTTCGCGTGCCGGAGATGGACTCGCCTCTGCGGGGGAACCTCTAACTTTACACCGCCGTCCTGCGTCACTCACAGCCGAAAGATGCTGCGACGCGACTGACTCCATAACCTGCCAATAAACAAACAGTGCACAGTTCTGAGGACATTTTATCATCCAAATTAGTTATAATTCATTATCTTTAAGAATATAGTCGTGTGTTTTATATGCGAGGCCTTACAATCACGCGAAAAGGCAGGCGCGAGTCGACACTCGTTTAAGGCGAGTAACATTGCGTCTCTGTATGTTCCTTCACATTAAATAAAATTATTTAAAGCACATTAATGATTATACGGATAAAATAAAACATACACACCTGAATTTCACAGAGGAAATGCACCAATTCTGCGAGGCTGAGGAGAGGAGAACTGTTCTGCACTGGAGTTCAAACAGCGCGCGCTCACTCAACCGTCGAGTTGTCGTCACGTCAGAGGGTGGGGGAGGGGTGCGTTGTTGTAATCATAGACAGTAAAATACAATTTCTTATGCTTGTTAAATATTAATAATATTGATTTTATTTAAGTAATATTTGTGGTTCTTGAAACAGATTAGTTTAATTATCCATTCTCAAATATTGTGATGGAAATTTCACAAATTTAGCTCAGTGTATTTTAAATAAATAATTGGTTAGTCAAATACTAAATTATTTTAGTGAAAAACTTCAAACTTAAATATAACTGTAAATTTCAGACAAAATTTATTGTTGGAGTTTTAGTCAATTATTTCGGTAGGCTATGTTCAACTCAAACTATCAAGTGATATTCAGAGATTTTAGGTAATAAAGTTAATTATTACTGTGATATTTACTAAGCCACTGAATTATTTTTTAGAGTGATACGCATAAGAATCACTTCAACATTTAGGAAAGTTTTATGTTTGTAGGTTAAGAATAGAACTGTTGTATACCTAGTAGTACTGTGATAAAGTTTAGAGAAATTGTCACAAATGAAAATGAAATCTGGTGATGCAGGATTTAAAATGAAAACTATTGATATGTGAAATATGCAACTGTATATTGTAGAACACATTCTAATAAAATATTTTTGTAATTAAAATGTGTGCTTGTGTGTGTAGTTTAAATGTTTAAAACATATGTGGTTTTTGCAGCATATATGTCCCTTACAATATTCTGTTGGAACATATAAGAATCACAGGAGTTTTTAGCAAACCTTTTCCATATGGGGTGTAACATTAAACTATTAATAAATGCGACTGAAAATTTAATTGATAAGACAATTGAATGCAATAGAGTCAAAACCACGATTTTAATATGCATAAGTTAAATAGGAATACATACAAATTTGTACGTCGGTAAAGTTGTTTATACGTAAATAAATTACGTTTTTTTGCCGTCAATATATGTCATTGTGAGTTGTTGTGAGTTGGGCATGTTGACCTGCAGTTTTCAATAAAGCAGATTTGTTGTCTCAATTCAAGTCAAGTCTGTTTCTTGAAACAAGACGATTCATCTTTTACAAATAACACAGCAGCTTAAAAACCTTATGACATGTCAAAAAAGCTTGTTTCATCTGAGATATGACTCAAAACAAGATATTTTTAAGACAGTTTCACTTAACAAGATATTCAAGATGCACTGTCTAAAAACAAGCTCCTTTATCTCACTTAAATCTTGGTATTTAGGTGATTTTGTCTTATATTAAGTGTGATGAGATATTTTGACTAGAAATTAGAAAAATATACTTGGCAAGATTTTTAGTTTTTGCAGTGTATTGGTCAATATTTCTGTAGGCCTGCTCTTCAAACAATATTTTAACAATGGCTTTAACATTAGATTTGATTTAACAGAATTTGATACTGAAGTTAAATGAAAAAATGTATTGTAGAAACAGTTCCCTTTTGTTTAATCTTTTTATTATTTAGTGTTTTGTTTTACTTTTTTTGTTCACTTTTGTTTTTGCTTTTTTTGTTCTTTTGTTTTACTTTTTTGTTTAGTTTTTTCTTTGCTTTTTGCAGTGTTTATTGTTTTTTTTTTTTTTTTTTTGTTACTTTTCTTAGTTTTTTTTTTTTTTTTTTTTTTTTTTTTGCTTTTTATAGTGTTTTTTGTTGTTGTTGTTGCCATTTTTATTCTTAAATATTTTGGTTTCTTTACTTTAACCAATGAATAGTATAAATGCATCTGGGTAATGGAAATCTCTCATTGCTAAGTCCAGTATTGCATGTGTCCAAAAGGAGGCGCTGTAAGATTTATCCGTTCTGTCTTTGCAGCCAAACACCATTTACAAAGAATTCGAAAGGCTTTTGTTTTGATCCTTAAATTTTAAGGATTTATTTAATTCAATCAAAAGGAAATGAATAAATATTTTAATAAACAAATGACTATAAATGGAGCAAAACGTGTATATTAGACTAGAGATGTTCACTCTACTGGAAATTTTGCATATATATTGCAATGGATATTTTCCATGTCCCACGTAACCTGTCATTTTGGTGTGGAGATTAGGGCGTGGTGTGACGTGCACGATGAAGGCGTGGCCTGGTGATGTCATACTCCAGGAGCGAGTCGCTCTTCAGGACAGATGATTGTGTGTGTGAGCGCAGTCACTCACTCTCACCGTTCAGCTCATTAAACATGTAACGTGCTGCGCAGAACACGAGATGTTTTACTTCATATTTGTATTATTTTTCCGTCAAAAGAGCGCCCGTTTGGATCATTTCAGCTTTATAATGGCAGAATAGACGCCGGGAGGGACGCTCTGTGTGTGTGTCTGTCTGCTGCATAAGCCGATAAAGAAAAGGAAAATCAGCTATATTTATCCTCTGTGTCCTGACCGGGAACATGTCTTCGGGACAGGATGAGAGCTCAGTGCGCGTGGCTGTCAGGTATAATTCTATACATTCATATAGATATGATATAGTCTTCAGAAGAGCCTATAAAGTCTCACTGATGCTCCATATGGGCCCGCCTCTTATGTACCTGCTACAATGTCACACCGTCATCAGGGCTTTATGTTCCGCACGAGCTCATTGTGTTTACGTAAACGCCTAATGTTTAATAAATATACGATTATATGCTTGCATTATACATGTTTTTTTAATGTTTGCCCTGTATTTTAATTCTGAGGTCAGACTCAAGGCCTTATTGTGTTGCTAAACATGTATCCTTGATGTAGAATAGAAAGTGTTAATCAAGATAATGTTAATTAGCTACTGTTTTACAGTAATGCAAGATTATATGATTACATTGAGATTTTTAAATATAGATTTTTTTTCCTACCGCATGTTCTTTTCTGTTGATTGGCTGAAAACTACTACTGTATATTTTATGTTACAGTGTGGCTAAGGCCTCATTGTGTTGTATATACATATACAACACAATATATGGCATTTTATTACTCTACTGATTGTTATTGAACAGGATCCGATCATTATAGACATAATATACTATAGGTTTTAGGTTGTATTTAAAACATACACACAGACGCTCAAATGCTTTATTGTTATCCAATATATTTATTTGTTTCTTGTGGACATGTTGTGTAAGATGACATGCATGCATGCATACATTTTATTTAAATTTGACTTAATTTTACTTTCATTTTTATGGTGTAGTTGTGGCATTATTTACATGGACTCCTAATCGTTTAGATATGTAATTTCAACATTATATGCAGGTATATTTTCTGTAATTTCTTTTCTGTGTGTTCATTTCTAAGTTTCTATTGACGAAAGCCAGAAAAGTGTATTACTGTATCTTATGTTACTGTAAAGTTGTAAGGCCTTATTGTGGTTATATTGAACTTTTAATGTTTTATAGATAGTTTTTATGCAAATTTAATATTTTGTCTTGGTAAATTATTCTATTGAGGTCTGTTGAGTTGAAGTGGTTCTACTAGATGACAGGATAACAATTCCCAATGGTCAAAATTAAGTCCCGCCCTAAATTTAAGGATTTAAGGATAACAATTCCCAATGGTCAAAATCAAGTCCCGCCCTAAATTTAAGGATTTAAGGATAACAATTCCCAATGGTCAAAATCAAGTCCCGCCCTAAATTTACGTCACAATAGGGAAGAAAAGACTATCACAACGTCTGTTTCATGTCGATTTAAAAGGGATAGTTTACCCAAAAATTTCAATTCTATTATCATTATATGAAACTTGTAAAAAAAAAATTACTAAAGGATTTTAAATAATGTGTTTGACCATTACAGTGAAAGTTGAATGTGGTTTTGGACACCATTGACTTTCATTGTATATGGACACAAACAGTTTTTGTGTGTTTGACAGTGTTATTAAAGTATTATTGATTTACTATTATAAAATGTAATCATATTTTGAATTTAATTTTTAATTATTTAATTATTCTCAATTTAATCTTAGTTTTAAGTTTTAGTAGTTTTATGTGCTTTTCCCATATTTTTTTTACTAGTTTTCTTTTCTTTAATATTCCTGTTTAGCTTTAATTTATTTGATTTGATTTTATATAAATTTTTGTTTTACTAATTTTAGTTCTTCAGTTAGTTACCAAAGTCTAATACTGAATTTTAATTTTATTTCAGCTTTATGTCAGTTAAAGGAAATATTTTTAATATATATATATTTTTTCAGTTAACAGTAACAACACTTTCTACAGAAGAAAGAAAGTCATGCAGATATTCTGGAAAACTAAAGAGTGGCATGGGACACACAAATCAGATCTAAACAGTTGTGATACACAGACAGTCAATAATTTAGATCAGATTCCAGTCGGATGCACAAATAATCGGATTTGGGCTGACAGTGTGAACAACATAAATGATGACAGAATGGGTGAACTATCCCTTTAAGTAGTCTAAGTTAAAGTCTATGTGTGATGATGATATCTTGGAAATGATATAATCTTCCCTAAACACATCCTTTTGTGCACCAAATTGAAAGGACACACAGAATGCTTCTTTTTGTGTTCGGAAAAGGCTCTGGTGAAAAACAAAGGCCATCTATAGACTCAGGTTACATTGTACATGCCTCAGGAGCTCTGGTTACTGGAGCTGACAGACTTTGACCTGCAGCTCAGTTTGCTCAACATTTGGACTTAGGCCTAATGTCATTCACTCCACCATTTTTGCACATTTCTATGAAGACATCGTTTGGCTATGAAAGCCTGTCAGACTGAGAAAGTTAAAACAGGTGCTGGATGCATTGTGACCACATGGAAATGAGTTTATTTAGCACCTGGACAATCTGAAAATGTGCATATGTGCATATTTACAAGAAATGTACGTGACTATGCTATTGCTTGGTAGGCGTTTAAGCGATCCAATCCAGATCACATGAGTATGTTAATCTGTCAGACTTAGTTTAAGCAAGCAGGTCACATGAAGACATGGTTTTTTGGACATGTACCATGGTCATGTACCTTGGCTGATGTATTGCAAAGCATGTCGTCTTGTATTTGTGTTTAGTCACAACGGCTTTCCTTCAGTTTCATTCAGATATCAGAGATTAACATGTTAACATTTAGCTAACTTTACCTTGGTAACTTGTTCCGCGACATTGTTTTCCAACGAATCCACATTTGCATTTTTTTTTTTGCAGGACTTTATGTGTGTCCCATCGGGTACTCGAAAGTTCTACACACACTTGCAGTCTTCACGCCTACTTGAACACTTGGGCCAAATACCGGAAATACGTCATATAAGTAGACAAGTGGTCAAGTGCAAAGACTGCAAGTGTGGGTATTTGGACAAGGCAAAGGTCTAGTTCAGCTAACGTTTACTCTTTTAGCTAACTAAGCTAATTTAATAGATGTGTTGCTAATGTTATAGTTTAGCTCATTAAGCTAATTTAGTATAGGTTAAACAAATGTTGTAGTTCAGATAATGTTTAGTGTTTTAACTAATTTAGCTAATCTAGTAGCAGTTTTGTTAATAGTTTAGCTCATGTTTAGTCATTTAGCTAATGTATTTGAAACGGTTTGTTAATGATAAGTAAGATAATTTAGCAAATTTACTAGATACTGTTATTTAATGTTAGGCTTTAGTTTATTGTGCAGTTTTAGTCATGTGTCATTTAGCTAATTTAGTAGAAGTAGCTAATACTATAGATTAGCTAATTAGCACCCCTTGTGTTAATGCTGAGAATGCAACACACACATGTTGCGTTATAAATTACCTTGCACATTTTAAATCGCAATGATGTGTGGAAACATATTTAGAAGTGTTCATTTGAGTATGTTTCAGGCCTTAAGAAGTTACTTAAAAACTCAATGCAAAAGCCCAAAGGTTCAGTCCGAAGATGTCACAATGTTTGTTCAAGCTTGTGCTATACCTCAGAATCGCTTTGTGGAATGTCTTTAGACTGTGTATCCGTATAGATTTTCTCTCCACGGGGAATGACATCAGTGTGTTGGTGCCTGGCTCAGCATCATAAAGACAGTAGCAGTCTTTATGTCCTTTTAAAATGAAGTAACAGTCAAAGGCTCTTAGATTTAGACCTTCAATCTGCAACATTAATGAAAGACAATCCATCATTCTTCTTTGTTTGTGTTGCTAAAGTCATGGCAACTGTTTAATTAGCATTAGGTCGCTGACAGTATCTGTTGTTTGTAAAACCACGTCTGATGAGGCCCAAAGGCGTGTGTTTTTACTGGCTCGAAAGAGACGAGATTCAGTAACATTTCTGTATTTTTTAGTTGTTGGTACAGTATCCAGTCTCTACCTGTTACACTGTTGCCTTCTAAAGCACTTCATTCATCTTGCGTTCAAAGACTCTTGGATTCATTCATCTGTTGTTCTGCTAATTTGACTTTAAATAGATTTGCGATGCTCGGATGCTGCTCTTTGGGAACATCTTTAATCAGACACAGCTGGTGTATGTTCAATTTCGAGTTGAAGGCTATTCAAACCAGAACCTATTAATGGCCCAAGCCTGGCCATTTGAAAAACTCAGTTAGCTGTTTGTGTACTTGTCAGGTCAGTGCACTTTCCATTTACTTACTAAATGGCACATCAGTGTTTTTCAGAGTTTTGCGAATGACATGTGTGGAACAGGAAGCACGTTCAGAAAGCCTAAAAACTAAGAATAAAGTTATAACATTACGACATTTAAAGTTGTATTTAGAATGAAGCCAGAAAATTAGGAGATTAAAGACTTTTTATAGTGTTAATAAAGCACTTAAAAAAATCCATCCTAATATTATGAGAAAATTTATGATTTACACTATAGGAATAGGATTGGATCTGAGTCCTACAATGACACCATGCTCAAAAAGCTTTACATGTGATGTTATGACTTGCATTTGACAGCATGTTTCTAATGACTTTACATGTGTAGTTGCTGAGCAGTTCTCTTATAGCCTGCAAGAATCCACCACTGGTATATTCAATACCACCGGTCACAGCATTAATATTTGAAGCCGCTGGTCTTAACAATAGGGTGCTTTATCAAATTACTCTCTGAGTCTGTCGCATTGGTCTGAGGTTTATGTTGCGGATCAATGTATCACTGTTTGGTTATGGCAAATATGTAGTTTATCACTTATTAGACTTATCAGTCTGGCAAAGATCTCTTATTGAGAAGCTGAATCAAAATCTCAGATGTACACCCTTTCCTTTGGTTAAAATGTCACCATAGTTATGAGATGAAAAACAGCCTGGTAAGCTGACTGCTGCGCAAGGTCGTAAGTGGGTCAATAAGCAGTAAAGCAGTATTGTTAAAATATTATGTATGTGTACTGTATATAACAGCATTAAGGCCCTGATATACTTTAAAGGTGCTCTATGTAACTTTTCTACTAAAATGAATCCTTTTTTTATTGCCTGTGTGTGAAGGAGTTGTAATCACACATTAAAATGATCCACTTGTCGAGTTTTGCTATTACCTCTGAAGGCCAGTATTCCTATT